ACTCCCTACTCAACCTTTTTTCAGTGAGAAGGTTAGTTATTTTCAAAAAATTACTTATTTTACTTCCTTTTACACGAGTACTTTTACAGATTAATTGTTTCTTTCGTATTGATGCTGCTATTATCTCCACCTAATTACCTCTGTAGATATATCAATTACGTTAAATAATTGTGCCTAAAAGAACCATAATTGCAGCAAATTCACAGTAACAACCAATAATAGAAGGCTCTCAAAAACTGTTAATATAAAATGAATTAGATACTTCATAACTTATATAATTTTTCCCTTAATATTCAAAGAAATTAAACATCTCCATCATCCAAATTGTGTTTAAAAATTTTTCACTTATGTTAGACTAGTTAATTCAGGTTTAAATATAGTTTGCTTATTCTACATAAATGATATCATAATTAATTTTCCTTAATGGAAATGGTTTATATTTAGTTTTCTTAATTATATAAAATAAATTGTATATACACAATAGGATTGTTTGAACTGTATTCTATTAATTAGAAGTAATAACCAATCTGAATCACATATTATTACTAGTACATTAATTAAATACAAAAATTATTAATTATTAACTATGATGTAGAACAGGTAAATCTCTTTACTCATTGTGCCTAAAAATTCATCACTCGAAAGTAAAAGTAAAATTACTCAATTTAAGAAAATTAGTTAATTGGACAGTGTTTAACTATCCGGAACAAAGTCTATTGCCATGCTTCATTCTAAATGTCTCTGTGTCATTTCTCATGTTTTTGCTTTGGGATTGTCGTTACATTGTTTCTTTGGATTAAGAAAAATTCTTCACAAAAAGAATGATCTTTTTCTGATGAGGTCTTTTAATTTGGAGTTGTTAATGTTGTTTTTAAGTAAAGTTGCAATGGCCTTCTAATGAAAGTTCTGCTTTTGTTCATCTTCTAACCTCCTCTGCTGGTCAATCCCAAAGCACAAAGAGCAAAATTTAAACATTGATCTGGATAAACAACCACCCACCTTGCCTTTTGTTGACATAAATGATCTCTTTCCAATCAATTTGAGAGCCATATTGACAAACTTGTCCTTCCCTTTGAATAACCTTTCATTCTTGCATATCCACACAATCCAAGTTATAACAGAACAGTAAAGACCAAACTTCCCTCTTAGATCTGTTTACCACCCCAAAATTGACTGATCATATAACTGGATTATACTCTGTGGAAATATATGGAGCTAAGGCCCTACCAATAATAGTTCCAACTACTGTTGCGGAATACATTGATCAACTTCTCCAACTCTACCATTTTTAACATGATAGACCATCCTTCTTCTCATCCATCAACAAAATGATAAGCTTTTTCTACAAAATGAATTCTATGTCGTGCAGGTTGTGTTACCGAACCTAGAGGAGCTGCAATTACGCTGGATGAATGTTAACATCGAATGGCATACTTCAATAACATATTTATGTGTGGGGAAACTGAAGAAATTGATCATTCAAGGCTGTGATAATTTGGAGTACTTATTCTCATCTTCTATAGCTAGAGGTCTAGTGATGCTCAGTCAAGTTGAAATAAGGGAATGCAAGAGGATGAGAGAGATTATTGTCACAGGGAATGCAGAAGAGAAAGAGAATTTAATTTTTCCTCAATTGAACTTCCTATTGCTAGAAGACCTTCAAAACATTGTTGGATTCTACTCAGGGAATTGTATTGTTGAATTCCCATCCTTAAAGCAATTGCAAGTATTGAACTGCCCAGAGTTGGAAGGATTCATTGTTAAAAATTTTGCAAGCACAAATGTCACTGCTGACAAACAGCCATTCTTCAATGAACAAGTAAATTTTACTTATTTCACTTGCATTTTGTTTTGCATTAATTTAAGGAACTAATCTAAATGTGGCATGATGCATTCATTATGCAGGTTGCTTTTCCCAACTTGGAAAGTCTGACTCTCACCCACCTGAAAAACTTGGATATCATATGGCACAACCAATTCCATGCAAATTCCTTTGGCAAACTAAAATCATTAACAGTTAGAAATTGTGAGAAGTTATCCACTGTTTTTCCATCTGTTGATATGCTGGGAAGAATATGGAAATCCCTAGAGGAGTTAATTATATCTAATTGTGGCTCGCTAGAAGTGGTATTTGGAATTGCTGAGTTCAATGTCAAACAAACACATGCTATAATAGACACCAAGTTGAGAGAATTGAATATTGATGGTCTACCAAGATTGAAGTATGTGTGGAATAAGGATCCTCAAGGGATACTCACTTTCCACAGCTTGGAATTAGTAGTTATAGAACGTTGTGACAGACTCAAATTTTTGTTTCCAGCTTCAATAGGCAAAAGCCTTTCACAACTTCAAAAGCTACATTTAGTGAGGTGTGGGGTGGAGGAAATTGTTACAATGGGAGAACAAGGAATTGAAGCAATTGTTAACTTTGAATTTTCTCGACTGTCATGTCTTAAGCTTGAGCAGCTACCAAGACTCCAATGTTTCCATCCAAGGAAGCACACGGCAGCGTGGCCAAAATTAAAAAAGTTCTACTTTTCCCTTTTCAATCAAGTAAAGAGAACAGATGGCAATTGGCAACTTGATTTCCCTATACGAGTACCGCTTTTCTCCATAGAGAAGGTACAAAGCTTCTTACCAAAATAAATAATAAAAGAATTCCTTGCTTCAAATATATATATAATGGAATCAGAGTAATTTTTAATAATCTATTGTACATGGAAATAATATTGAATTGCAGTATTAATAACTTGTTTAGTAAGACCTGAATGCTTCTCTTGATGAAATATTATTTGTGTGACAAATGCATGTGATAATTCGAATTATTTCTTTTATTTTACCATGATTGTTTGGGGATTTCTCTGTTATTAGATTTTAGAGTATTTGTAATGTGAATATGAGACACAACTAACGTTTACCACCCAAAAATGCAATATAGAGCAGGTTTTATTTTCTTTTTCTTTTTTCTTTTTAATCAGCAAAGAAAAGAGTTGTTTTTATTCAATAAGTAAATAAAGTGCATTTGGTTGCCATGGGAAATAATGCACAATATTTTTAATAATTTTTTTCTTTTCATAAACAAAATTCAAATCTCATTAAGGAAAAATATACAACTTACACAGAAGTTTTATTGCATTGGATTCCTTTCCAGGTCATCCTCCAGTTGGAAAAATTGTCACTATCAAGACATGACATTGCAGTGATATGTGAACACCAATTTAAAGAAGACCTCTTTTTCAATGTCAAAGTTCTTAAAATTCATGACTATCTTGATAATGAATCAGATGTTTTACCCACCAGATTACTACAAAGATTCTGCCATTTAGAAGAGCTTGCCGTGGAGCTTTGTAATTTTGAAGAACTGTTCCCTTCAAAAGGAGAAGTTGAAGAACAAGAGCAACACATTGAAATTGAGATGCTCTCAAGCATTAAAACATTAAATCTAAGGCGCCTTCCATATCTCAGGCGTATATGGAGCCATGACTCGTCAATTGTTCTTCAAAATCTTAGAACTCTTAAAGTTTTTAGATGTGAGAGTTTGATTAGTCTGTCAACATCACCTGCCTTTTTCCGGAATCTCATAACTTTGAATATAAGCAGGTGTGAAGCAATGGTAAACTTGGTTTCCATCTCAATAGCCCAAAGTCTGGTGCAGTTAGAAAGAATGACTGTATCGCAGTGCCGCATGCTGACTGAAATAGTTTCAAATGAAGGAAATGGAACGCAAGATTTGATCATGATCACTTTTACTAAATTAAGATTTTTGGAACTTTATTGCTTGCCAAGATTAGAAAGCTTTTGTTCAGGGAATTTCACCTTCAATTTTCCATCTTTGAAAAAGTTAATTGTGATTCAGTGCCCAAAATTGATGATCTTCAATGAGGGTGACCTAAACACACCACTACTGCAGAGAGTAGAATTAATTGAAGGAGAGGACAAGTGGCGTTGGGAAGGTGACCTTAATACCACCATACAAAGAGTGTATATGGAAGAGGTATGAATTGATTTCTAGGTATTTTTGAAGCCACTCATTCTTTTTATAAAAAAATTATTTGATTTATTTATATTTTGT